TAGTAGTAGTAGTAGTAGTATGGGGGCATTATTATCTCTACTCCACTTTTGAGGGGTCGTGCTCTTGCTCCTGCTTTGGCTCTTGCTCCCTCGCTGGGTTCTGCTCTTGCTTCTGCTGCGTCTCTTGCACATGCTCCTGCTCTTGCTGTTGCTCCCGCTTTTGCTCCTGCTCTTGCTCTTACTCCTGCTTTTGCGATTGCTTTGCTCTTGCTGCTGCTCTTGCTGATGCTCCCGCTTTTGTTCTTGCTCCTGCTCTTGCTGTAACTCCTGCTCTTGCTTGTGCGCTTGCTCTTGCTCTTCCTGTGCTCTGAGGGTATGTGGAGCCTCGAAACCATCCCCCCTGATTCAGAATAGGTTTTACAGGGCAGGGATGATTTCTGGAGGATTCGCCCCAATGTGTCTTTATTACAGGGGGGGTACTTCAATCAAAGGGGGAAGTGCTTACCCCAAAGCGCTATTCTAAATGAAGTCTTCGGGCGCGTATGTTTGAATCGAGGGAGGCTAGGGGACGAGGGTTCCGAACACAGTCCGAGGCTCTGTGTCGACGGTAAGCGGGTTTAGGGTTTAGGGGTAAGCCACAGCGTGCAGGCTGAAACGTAGGGAGGTTCCAGCCACACTCTATGCACTTCAACCCCCAAGTTTTGGGAAGTAGGGCTTTGGGCCTAAACCCTTGGAGGGCCCTAAACCTTAAACCCTATACCCAAGTGTAGGGTATAGGGTATATAGGGTTTAGGGGGCCTCCAAGGGTTTAGGCTTTAGGGTTTTCATAAGAGACCAGGATTCAGGGTTCATCCTGGACCACACAGACCCGCAGTTCGCTCTTCTTCCTGAATGCAAAGGGCGTCAGCGAAATTTCGCAGGAGGTTTCGCTCTTATCGGGAAGGATAAACCAGGACCTTCAACCCTAAACCCTTCAGCTATTCCTTTGGGTTTCCGTCTTATGGTTATAGTATAATGTGCTCCGAAACTTTACTCTAACTATTAAGGCCCCTATATCGGAGGGTCATACCCTACCCCTTTTTAGGGTACCTA